TTGAACAGAGACTCAAGAGGTACTTCTTTGGAAAATGCTGTCCGAAATCATCGTACAGTGGTGCCAGCTAACGAGGACTCTGAACATAACCTAGAATGCCTATACTTACAAGGGTTTGCAACATGGTCTCTGAGTACAGAAACTCTTCAAGACCTCAAAGTTTACTGGATTGACTATTGGGCTAAGAGATGAGATTCCCATGTTCTGAGAACAGATACCAACTAATCGAAAGGCTCACCTGGGCTCTCTCTGAGGCCCTACAAAAAGCTGAACCATTCACTGAAAATCAATCACACACACACACAACCTGTCATTTGTCTAATTCATCAATTACTTACACGTTCAGGATTCTTCCTACCTTTTATTTTTCAGATTGGTATTTGTACTCACGTGAAATGTCATTTCTTTTTTTTCTTCTTTTTTTTATTATGTTCAGTTAGCCACTGTATAGTACATCATTAGTTTTTGATATTAACACTAATGTCAAATAGAGACGCATTGACACAATATTCGCAAAATGGAACTTCCCTGTTATAATTTTCAACATAGCATTTTTTTTTTAAGATTTTATTTATTCATTTGAGAGAGAGAGCACAAGAGGGGTGGAGGGTCAGAGGGAGAAGCAGACTCCCTGCTGAGCAGGGAGCCTGATGCGGGACTCCATCCCGGGACTCCAGGATCATGACCTGAGCCGAAGGCAGTCGCTTAACCAACTGAGTCACCCAGGCGCCCTCAACATAGCATTTTTTAAAGTTCATACATATTTTAGCTGTTTTGGTAACTCGTAAGGGAGAAAATGAGCATTGAAAAACTCTAAATACTGACAATGAGTTTTAAGCCTAGAGAACAAAAATTGTCAAATTTCATAGGTAATAAGGAACTAAAGGAAAAGCATGGAAGTTGTAGTCTAATAATTTTACACATATGCACCCTCTATTATCCTACTACTGAAGGGCATATTTTATTACCACTATATATGCATACATTATTTTCCACGTTTGCCTACACAGGTATAGTACTACAGTAGAATGAAATGTCTGGGACACTTGGTGGCATCTATAATGAACAATTAAACTTCATTCTTATATCTGGTGAACTTCCGTCTGTTCCTTTAGACAATGGACCATATATGCAAACCAATACAACTCTTCCGTTTCAAGAACCACAACTGAGAAGAAACTAACTTCCAATTAATAAAGCAACACACAGACTGGGTTCCATTTCACTCCCCTTTATTCACCTTCTCTGTGGGTTCTAAGCTATTTCCCTACCTCTTTTCCTGCTGAAAAGGAAACCCGATGCAGGGCTCGATCCCAGGACCCTGAGATCATGACCTGAGTGGAAGGCAGAGCCTTAACAGGCTGAGCCACCCAGGCGCCCCACCCATAAATTCTTCTTAAGCAAAAGGACACATTTTCACGATGACTTCACAGGACTTCACGTGCTACAGAGATCTGCATTTTGCCTCTAGAAGGTAGGAGATGAAGGAAATTGCGAACTCTCACAGTGGTCTCCCAAATACAATGACCTGCCTGGTGACAGGGAGACCCTTATGCACCCAGGAGGGTGTGCTGTGACACTCGACTGTGGCTTGCTGGCACAGAGAACCAAATCCGTTTCCCTGGCTGACGCCTCTGGGGAACAGAGTCCCCACACTGTTAATGAGCCCGTCGCTGAGCTGTCCAGAGATGGCAGTCCTCAGAGAGAATGATGATCAAGGACAATGCCAGAGGAGAACTCATCTGTTTCTTCGATCATTTCATATTTTTGATAGTGGACAAATAACTGCCTATAAGTCCCCCGCTACCTTAGTCTCACCTGTGAATGACCCAGAGGTTTTACAGAACACTTAAGATTTTGTCCTCACAATTGCCCAAATATTTACATATAAATAGATAAGAGTGCAATCAGTTCCTTAATTTTAAATGTAAATGTGTGAAAAAATTCTTATTTTTTAAAGAAAGATTTATTTATTTATTTTAGAAGAGAGAGCACAAGCGGGAGGGGCAGGAAGAGGGAGAGAGAATCTCAAGCTGACTCTGCACTGAGCACCCAGACCCAAGCAGGCCTTGAGCTCATGACCCTGAGATCACGACCTCAGGTGAAACCAGGAGTGGGACACTTAACTGACTACACCACCCAGTTGACAAAATAAATTATTAATTTCATTCATAACCAACTTCTATGGGATCACAGAGCTAATAATTAGGCACATTCTAATCTTTAGCATGAATATAAAGGAGGGCAACCAAATTCTACCAAACTTCTAATGTAGTGAAAGGTAACAACAATCTCAAACCCTCTGCAGAGAAAGGGGAACCCTCCTACACTGTTGGTGGGAATGCAAGCTGGTGCAGCCACTCTGGAAAACAGTATGGAGGTTCCTCAAAAAGTTGAAAATAGAGCTACCCTACGACCCAGCAATTGCACTACTGGGTATTATCCCAAAGATACAAATGTAGTGATCCGAAGGGGCACCTGCACCCCAATGTTCATAGCAGCAATGTCCACAATAGCCAAACTATGGAAAGAGCCCAGATATCCATCAACAGATGAAAGGATAAAGAAGATGTGGTATAGGGGCGCCTGGGTGGCTCAGTCGTTAAGCGTCTGCCTCCAGCTCAGGTCATGATCCCAGGGTCCTGGGATCGAGCCCCGCATTGGGCTCCCTGCTTGGCGGGAAGCCTGCTTCTCCCTCTCCCACTCCCCCTGCTTGTGTTCCCTCTCTAGCTGTGTCTCTGTGTCAAATAAATAAATAAAATCTTTAAAAAAAAAAAAAGTGGTATATATATACACAATGGAATATTTTGCCACCATCAAAAAAATGAAATCTTACCATTTGCAATGACGCAGATGGAACTAGAGGGTATTATGCTAAGCAAAAGAAGTCAATCAGAGAAAGACAATTATTGTATGATCTCACTGATATGCGGAATTTGAGAAACAAGGCAGAGGATCACAAGGGAAGAGAGGAAAAAAAATGAAACAAGAAGAAACCAGAGAGGGAGACAAACCGTAAGAGACTCTTAATCTCAGGAAACAAACTGAGCGTTGCTGGAGGGGAGGTGGGTAGGAGGGATGGGGTGGCTGGGTGATGGACACTGGGGAGGGTATGTGCTATGGTGAGTGCTGTGAATTGTGTAACACTGGTGAATCACAGACCTGTACCCCTGAAACAAATAATACATTATATGTTGGGCGCCTGGGTGGCTAAGTCATTAAGCTTCTGGCTTCGGCTCAGGTCGTGATCTCAGGGTCCTAGGATTGAGCCCCGCATGGGGCTCCCTGCTCAGCGGGGAGCCTGCTTCTCCCTCTCCCACTCCCCCTGCTTCTGTTCCCTCTCACGCTGTGTCTCTCTCTG